CGGTATGTGCAACCACTATTGACAACAGTTCAACCTTCTGTGCCCCTCCGCTTCCGGCTAGACCACCGTCACCGCTACCGATACCACCACCACCACCACCACCAGATGAACATTACGGAAAGCCCATTATTTGAACTATTAATACTTAGTACATGATTCACTGTGTTCAACCTGTTGTCAATTTGCTTTATTTTGAAGTTATATTTTATTAGATTAGAACTCATACTCACAATGCCAAAACAACACACTGAATTAAATGAAGGCATTTAATGTTTTTTTTGTTATAAAAAGACCTTCGCGCCACATTTAAATTCAAAGAATACGCCATATGGTAACACGCATTGTCCAAGTGTTTTTGCGGTTTTCATTCAAATCATTTATTTTATTCATTTTTTTAACAATTTTTTCAGTGGTAGTTTTTCCGCCTCTTTCTCACAGGCCAGCACTCATGGAATGGGCATGACCTATCAGTTTTGTTAATCCAATTTCTGTATTATTATAAAGACATTAATAATTGCTGTCACTGGGCTAAATTTAGTTTTATATATGAGGTACCTTTGGACATTATTATCGACTCGATGACTATCAATAACATTTTTCACGGAGGAAAACAATCGCCGAATTCAGCAAAAACAGTCATTCCATTAATAATGCGACGTTTTATCATGTTAGTATTACTAGTATATGATCATTTATTTGTCAAATTTGTTTTCTTGATAACATACTGTGTGAACATAACATACAAAAACGGCTTCCAGGCAAAAGTATGTTTGTGTAGTAACTATAGCTGTACTTGATTAGTGTATACAATAAAACTATGTTCTATGAAATGTTTGTTTTTATCAGCCCCGCATGGAAACTATTCAACATAACATTCAAGAATGGACCGATAGAATCTATAGGACCTATTAAATTCAGAGAATAACAAAATCTATACAGATACAAATCGCACAGAAACTGGAAAACACTCTAATTGCCAACCCCGAAAATAAACAAAAGTTTCACTGAACAAACAAATATCCGGTTGCTTCAAAAAATCCGCGTACATCTGCACCGGACACCTCTTCCACAGCGGAATAAATAGCAACGCCCAAGTTGTGGTATGCAAGTATAGATAGTGGGGGTCGCTCCAGTGTTTTTTCACTTTGCTGAAGCAAAATTCAGCTGGGTTAAATTCAGGTGAGTAGGTTGGCGTGAAAATGACTTCTATTCCCTGTGTATTAAGCAACATATTGAGTGTTTGTGCGATCTCACTGTGATGGATTGGTGCGTTGTCGAGCACTATAGGAAGTCACCTGGTTGGAGGGCGGGTACAACGTACTCGTCAACTGTCTCTACACACTGCCGTATGAAGTCTGCAAAGTGCATCGAATTTGAAGCTCCATCAAGGACTTCAATGTGAACCACCCCCTGCAATCCTATTAGCAAGTTTAATGTAATATTAGGATTGGGGTCGTACCGAGCAAATTGTACACATCGCTGTCCCACCAAAGCATGTCCATAATTAGGATTCGCAGTAGTGGTAACCATAAAACCGCTTTCGTTCATAAACTTCAGTCGCCATGGATCGATATTATGCATGGTGTCCATGTATGCCTGGGTATACCGTAAATTTCTCAATGTGAATCTTTGCTCAGCAGATTATGTTGTTCGCTTGTACGTCCACTTTCCACATGTGAAAGCAGTCTTCACTGCGCGACATATCTTTGACACTACAGTTGGTGAAAACTGTTCAAATTGTAGTGTTATTTCTTTATACGTTATGGAAGGTTCATCTGTCTTCAGGCTTTCCAGGTAGGCGACGTCATTCTCAATGAGCTTCTTTGGCCTCCCCGTTTCTCGTATTCTTTCTTCACATGTACCATTTTCGACGTAACGGTTCCAAATTCGTTTTACACTATACCTGGAAAACTTGAATTTATCGGCAGTGCGCTGTACCACTCCTCTAAGTATATAACCACTTGACCTGTCACCCCCGTTTTCACTGATGTCGTTCACTAAGAGCGAACTAAGGTCTTCACTGACAGATTTACCAGAACGATATTTTCTCCCAAGCTGATTCACCTGCATTTCTACGATTGGGTTTTGGTTTGCATTGATCCTTCACTAATTACAACGCTAGGCAATATTGGCGCCAATAACAGTTGAAAACACTAGTTTTAAATAAACAGAAACATTGTCACAACTGTAAATATCACGCGGTGCTTATCGGGGAAACAGTCATAATATTATTACTTTACACTCACTGTACGCGTCTTTGTTGACTGCGCCGAGTGGTTGTTTCGCTCCGCTCAGGTGTTACCGGTAGTATAAGTATGCCACTATAATTATACTATGACAACTATCTTTTAACTACTAATTGAACAAGTACTAAATTATCAGAATGCAAATTGAATGTTGTAGGCTATAATATTAAAACCTACAGCAATTAAAACGATTATTTTTTACTCAGACATGTGAAACCAGGGTAATTTTACTGTTTCTTTAAATCTACGTAGTTTTCTTTATATTCCTTGTTATTACGGGCCCGTGCGTTATTTATTATGGTAACCCGTATTTGTGACGTCATGGAAAAGTTTTGGCCTCATGACTGACGCCCATTGAGACGCGCTGCAGTGATTGGTGCGTCCCAGGATGTCACGCGACTTCGCACGCAAGAGAAGAAGGTACAGGACAGAGAAAAATATGGCAGGGGCTGAAAGCGGAATTGTGTTGGAAATGTGAACACGAACGTGTTTCGGGGAGCATCAAGTCGGCGTACATGCACGTAGCACACTCGTTAGAGGCACTCATTCGATTTCCTGCGGATCAGAAAAACAACCCAGAAGACATCAAGAACGCTTTGCGGATCGTATTGCAGCCAAACCTGCGAGGCAGAGGCGACGAGATACTGAACATGTTTACGACGTTCGGCAGTTTGGTGTGGCGATTGCCGAAGATTAAAGTTGGACAGATCTGAGTGGACTTTTTGTGGGATTGACATTGCCGCATGTTTTCTGTGAGGCACATATTTTGTAATGTTCAGAAACTGTTATTGCTACGGCATCCATATATTGAATGAATTATTTGTTTAACACTTACATTTGTATTTATTTTTATTTGACAAGTTAGTTGTTCGTTCC